TCTGTCTGTCTGTCTCACTCTCTCTCTGTCTGTCTGTCTCTCTCTCTCTCCATCTGTCTGTCTATCTCTCACTCTCTCTGTGTCTCTCTCTCTCTGTCTGTCTCTCTGTCTGTCTGTCTGTCTGTAGAAAAGACAAAATGAAGGAGACAAACACAAGATAATAATTCTGATGATCGGCTTGTATAAAGACCTTTTTCATCATTTTCCTTAAACACCAGAAAGTTTTGATCACGTTAAACCAAAGCAACTTTCAGGAGAAACCTTGAGGCCAAGTCTTTGTGTCGCCCCCTGCAGGACAAAGAAGGAGCCTTCATGGTCAGAGACTCCAGCACCGCAGGAACCTACACCGTCTCTCTGTACGCCAAGTCCTCCGCAGGGTAACGCTGAGTTCCTTAAAGACAATAAACCATGAAACATTAAACATCGTGATCGTTGTTCTAACGCTGTGTGTGTGTGTGTCTGTGTGTGTGTGTGTGTGTCTCTAGGGAGGGAGGAGCGGTGATAAAACATTACCACATTAAGGAGACGCAGGATTCACCTCCTCAGTTTTACTTGGCAGAGAAACACTTGTTCAGCTCCATCCCTGAACTGATCGAGTACCACAAACACAACGCAGCAGGTAAACAACACAACGACTGGGAGTAAACAACCAGCTTCATCTGCATGAGGAAGGTGAACTGATCAACTCAGACAAGGTCGTTCTGAAAGATAATTTATACCAGAATTCAAATTAAAAGAGAAAAATCACATCACAATAAAAGTTTCAACACAGTCGATGTTCATTTAGTCAATTATGATCATTTAGAGTCAAACAGACCAGAAAGTGTCTCATGGAAATAAAAGTAGCTGCAGTGGAAAACTCTTTTGAGACGGAGCTCGATACCTGAGCTTGTGTTCATCCTGCTGTTGTCGTGTCTCAGGTCTTGTAGCAAGGTTGAGGTATCCTGTGAGAAAACAGGACAAGTGTGCTCCGTCCACGGCTGGTTTCAGCTACGGTGAGTCTGAGGGCCGCCTCCCGCAGGTTTAACACCTTTTGAATAACGTCTGTCGACAGCGCAGCTCTTCACCGTCGTCTCTCGGTTCCCCTCAGAGAAGTGGGAGATCGACCCCTGCGAGCTGACCTTCATGAAGGAGCTGGGCAGCGGTCAGTTCGGTCTGGTGAGGCTCGGCAAGTGGAGGGCTCAGCACAAAGTGGCCATCAAGGCCATCAGGGAGGGCGCCATGTTGGAGGAGGACTTCATCGAGGAGGCCAAGGTCATGATGTAAGGAAGGAGGAGACGATTTGCAACAGTAGCCTCTGCTGCTCTCTACTGGAGACTTGTGATGTTTCTTCAAGCTTCTGATCCGTTTGGTTTGAATTCATTAAAAACAGACGTCATGATTGACAGCTGAGACCGGCTCAGGATTGGTTGAGAGTGTGTATGGGCGGGACCTTGAAACCATGATCACGACTGAACAGACTGAATGAAAATGACTGTTAGCACGCTAACGTCCCTTTTTCAATGAATCCATTCAAAAGAGAATGATTTGAAGGTGTAGAGATATTCTTCAGGTGCTGAGTAAAGTTCAGAGTTGGTCTTAAACACAACCTGTGAAGACGAGCCGTCATTCGAGTCTTTGACACGGTGACGGACGTGTTCGTCGATAACTTGTTGGTTTTCTCCAGGAAACTGTCCCACCCCAAACTGGTGCAGCTGTACGGGGTGTGCAGTCAGCAGAGACCCATCTACATCGTCACCGAGTTCATGGAGCAGGGCTGCCTCCTCAACGTCCTCCGGCAGCGGCAGGGCAGCTTCAGCCTGGCGTCACTGCTGAGTATCTGCCTGGACGTCAGCGAGGGCATGGAGCACCTGGAGGCCAACGGCTTCATCCACAGAGATGTGGTAACATCAATCTGCTTCGATCAGTCCATTGACCTTTATTTGAATGTTTAGAGAAACCAACGGTTCTCACAATGAGCAGCTCTTCCGTCAGGGCGTCGTTGAAGGACGTGATGTTGTGGAAACGTTTCCTCAAATGAATTTGTTTCCTCCAGTTAACCAAGTCCCAACGACGCCTGGAAAAACAAATGTGGATTTCCATTTCCCTGCTGCTTTTCCTTTTCTGAATTTCAGTCATTTTGCTTCTCTTGTTGGCCTCTTCATTTATCCTTCCCCTCACTGTGGAAATCAGCCAAAGGAAGTTTATTATATGATTTTTCATATGAATTCTTTATTTCTTCCGTTCATTGCTTCCTCTCCTCTGCAGGCGGCCAGAAACTGTTTGGTGAACGACCTCCTGGTGGTGAAGGTGTCTGACTTCGGCATGGCCAGGTTTGATTCCTACACACTTACAGTCTGTCCTCTTCAGACTGAACCTACATCGAGTCAGCAGAGGAGAGTGTCGTCTCATTTGAACGTTGTGATGTGTTGAAGGTACGTGTTAGACAACCAGTACACCAGCTCATCAGGTGCCAAGTTTCCGGTGAAGTGGTCGCCTCCGGAAGTCTTTAACTTCTGCAGATACAGCAGCATGTCGGACGTCTGGTCGTTCGGTGAGGACACAATAATGTGGACAAATCATCAGAACATGAGTTTGGAAACCTCAGTAAAATGAGAACACGAGAGCATCAGGTTCTGGATTTTCAGTGAATCCTGAAGTTCATGTTTGGACACATGAGGACGACGCAGCTCAGACAATTGTGCGTTTGTGTTTCCAGGCGTGTTGATGTGGGAGGTTTTCACCGAGGGTCGTATGCCGTTTGAACGGCATCAGAACCATGAGGTGGTTACCATGGTTACCCAGGGTCACCGCCTGTACAGGCCAAAAATGGCCACGCCCACCATCTACGACATCATGCAGCTCTGCTGGCACGAGGTGAGAACCAAAAGAAAGCGTGTGTTGGAGCGCCCCCTTTCGTTGATTAGATATAAAAACTGCTTCATATGAGCGGATCCCAGCGCTGTGCAGGAAATAAACGTTTTTCATCCGTCCACAGGTTCTGATGTAAAACACAACGTGACACAGGAAGTAAACAGGAAGCCTCAGTTTATCTTGTTTGGCGACCGTGTTTGATAACGTGTCTTTTCTCTGCAGAGACCGGAGGAGCGTCCGTTGTTCTCTCAGCTCTGCACGATGATCTCCAACGCTCTGGAAGGAGACGTCCCTCCTGCAAACTGAGCAGCAGCTCCGCCGCCTCGTCCACCAACCATCCGATTATCTGATCACGTCTTTGCTCAGCTCACAGCTCTGAACATCACGACTGACGTTACGTCCACGATGCAAAGTGCTGCGAAGTGCTGCTCCTCTGGGGGAGACGTAGAAACTGACTCTGACGGAGGAAACCTGTCGGCTTCGTCTGATCCTGGTCGTTGACAAAATAATATCAGTATCAAATAACATGAATCTTACTCTTCCTTCAGTGCATGAACTGTTTCTGTGACTTTTACTGTATCATCTGGTTTCATGTCATTTCATTAACAACCTGTAAATTTCATGGTCAAATACAGAAGAGGAAATAAATGAGCTTCCAATCTCATGAAGAAGAATAATAATAATAATTCTGCACTATAAGATACAACAATGAACACGATTATTATCAAAACTCCAGTTTGGTCAAGACTTTGGTTGTTTTACGTCTTTCACATCAGCCTCAGCTGGTTTTTAAACAAAGACGTGATTTGGAGTCAGAATCTCCGCAGTGGTAATCGGGGGATTGAGCCACGCTAGTGACGACCCGGCGATACACCCACTTGACCAACCTGTTTCAGCCCTGATCACAAACACGTGAACAAACATCAGAGAGACAAGAACGACCTGAAATGACAGAATCATCTTTGACAAACATTTATTTAACGTCTACTTTGATTATTTAATTTGGTTTGTGTCCCATCTGCTGACATGGAGGAGGTCTACGACCTGTACTGCAGCCAGACACCAGGGGGAGATCGAGAAACTCTGGCTTCAATTTCAGGATCCGTCCTGTCGTCCATCCTTAATTACAGTTTCAGGGACGGACAGATCTCAGATGTTTCTCAGCTCTGAGGTCATCAGTGAATTCTGCACAATCTGGTTGTGCAACAACGAACAGACGCTGATGTCGTGATAAACTATCTGAGCGACATCTGACTGATAAAACTGGTTCATATCTTTTATTGTCCCGACATCCTGGAATTTAATCACGAAGGTCATCACGTAATGTGAACAACTGGCGTCGCCGAGCCTTTAAAAGTCAGGAGGCAGGTGTTGAAGTGAGACCAGAGCTTCTCAGACCTGCTGCACGAGCTCACAAGATGGAAAACAGTGAGTATGAATTATTATTTTAAATTCATGAGACGTCAAGATGATGTTGGGAACAGGAAAGAGAATATGGAGGCGAAAGAGTGCCCACAGAATAATTACTAGAGAATGATGAACAATTAAAACTAAAAATTCACAAAGAGAGATGCGACACCAGCGCTGCATGTTCTCGTTAATGTTCAATTAGTGCTGCTTCCTTCTGAAAATGTATCAGGATCTTTCTATAGTTAGAAAATGAGACTGTGAGAACAGAAACTCTGGTTAAAGACAGATCATCGTTTGTCTCTGGACCTCGGATGTGAAGGAAACACTGTGTAAGCTTTGAACGGCCGATTCCAAACCGCGGCCTGAAGATATCTGCAAAGACATTAGATTGATTTTGGACCAAAGAAATGTATTTCACTGAAATGGGCTGAAACTTTGATCGCACAATGCGACGCTGACCTCGGACAGATTTCAAAAGATAACCAGTCGAGCAGTAAACAAACTGTACGACTTTCACTGCTGGAACGACAGCGTTAGAGAAAATAAATGTTTTTAAACGAATTCTATATTATTATTAAGTTACTGTCAGTTAACATCATGGATCAAAACTTTTCTCCAAAGATGATCAAG